AACCGTTCGATCGAATCCCCACTCACGGAAAATGGGTGCGGATTATATTAGATGTACGTGAAGTCATGTTCTTGTTTATGTCCGCGGGAATCAATGTTGCGTTTCCGGGAAACGATGCACAGCGCAATCCGCAATCCAGCCAAATCATGCAAGATGCTTATGCTTTGGATTGTCGGATCCGATCTGCAGTCGAGACATTTGATTTACTTCATAATTGGATCAACGGATTAGGAAATGAAGTATAAGAGACCGCACGACGGAATTGCTCCGGCATCCAAGAGGCGATGGTTTGCATACACACGTCTTCGGAATCTCCATTTAGTGTCAAGATTTGTCTTGCCAAGAGCTTTTTCTGGGTCTTCAATACCGATTACGCCATTGGGATTACCAATTGTCTTAAGAAGAAAAAGGAGGAGAGTGGCCCAGCCAACTCTCCAACCGAGACAATCCCAGCCGAGTCGCCAGCTGATGCTGCAAATTCACTTGTTGATGGCAATACCCCGAGCGGCACCGCCGCCCTGGGACAGCGAACTCAGCAATGACCTCGCCCAGCATCGCGACCGAGGTACCAGTGCGGAAGGCAGTCTTATCGGGCCGCCCCCTATGCGCCTGCGTCTGTCGGCTCAGCCGTGTCAGGCACCAATGCTGGCTGGATCGATTATGACAGAATCCAGTCGCGGGCGGGCGAATCCTGGACTGATGAACCTATCCTTGAAGGACTGGCCGTAGAGCCGGCTGGCGGCCGCGCGAGCGATGGCGGCGGCCCCGGGCCAGCCATGGACGGCGCCTACGACGCGACCGTCGATTGCGAAGACAAGAACGAGAATGGAGAAATTTCAGGATACTATGTACATGCATCCCGGCATCAGCGAGTCACCGGCCACAGCAAAACGCGGCAGTGGATTGGTCTAGACGAATACAACGACAAGTTCCAGCGCGACTCCGGGATGCCAAGTACCTTGCCAGAGCCCCCACCGCCGCCCACGCCGAAGGCGAGACCGCCGGAGAAGGGCCAGGGCAAGAGTGAGCCCAGTGGCTGGAGTTCAAGCAGAAGAGAAAACAGCTCCTCCAGGGATCCGAACCTGTGGCGGTGGAGCAACAGTGATCCCTGGGACGACTCTCGTGGATGGAGAGGTTGCTGGAGAAGGTAACGTAGCGCAATGGAACCAGTACGACATAGTCGATGCTGGTCCACACTACTTCGTGGAGCAGTGTGGCCTGAGCTAGTTATATATTAGCTCAGGTGGGGAACGTCGGGTTTCTTCGGCCTTCCGCACCCTGGCAAGCACCGCTGAGCGGTAAAATGCTTTTGGGGTTCGCTCCGGTGGCCGTCCATATGTACAGGCCAGGTGGGTTGGGGGGTCGGGGCGGCTCTACGGACCCCGCCGCGGGGGGAGTCAATGCACCCCTTACGCACCACCAATCTTTCGCCCTGCCTGCTCTCTCTCCTTGCTCGCGCTGCCTGCCTGCTGTACTGACTGACTACTTCTGCCCCCGCAGCTATACTATTTTGGCTTTAGGGAAATTGAATAGGAGCGAGCTTGCGGCGCGCGCGCGTGCGTCGGCCGGCGGGCCGGCCTCCTCCCTTCAGTGCTACCTGAGTGTATGCTTGACGGCACTACCCCTTCTTACCCATGTCATCTGCGGAGCCCATTGACCATGAGATAGTATCGGAACATATTGCAGGGATTATGAATATCCAGGCAAAAGAATGTTCCCTCAGTAGTATCAGGGGCCGTCCCCAGCGCATCGATGGCGTCGTCGGAGCGCTGACCCAGGCCGTCGGCGAGAATCTTGTCCGCGGCGAGAACCTCGCCCTCTTTTGCCGTCTTGGCGTTCGGGGACATGGTCGCGCAACAATGTCTTGGCTTTGTCAGTATTCCTCTTGTGCCGCTCCGCATCTGAAGACGAGCTGCTGGGATCGTGGCGCTTCTAATCCGATTGCCATCCGCCCCCGCGGTAGTAAGGCTGATAGTGGTAGCCGTACCGATCCCGCCGATATCCGCCGAACGTCACGATTGTCTTGTAGACGTTGCCATCCACGCGAGGAGTCGACACGCCCCCGTCGTGCGTTTTGATCGCCTCCACCGCCGTGTCCAGGATTCTGCCTCACGGCGAGCCATGCGCGCATGTGCTGACGAGCTGAAGCATTCCCTGGTAAAAGCTCGAACACTACGTGAAAGAGAGTGAATAATCGATGGTGGATATCTTACCAGATGCATCCGCAAGATGGTTTCCAAGAAACCTTAAACGGCGTCTCCCAAACCGATAGCACGCACCTGAAGAATACGGCCCATGAGGACGGACCGGAGGTGGCTGAAGCCTCGGGGAAGTGCACCTGGCCATTCGGTAAACACCGAAGATGTCGTAGACATAGACAAGAGGTTTTTGCCCGAAAAAAGTCCGAGAACAGATGGCGATTCGGTTTCTTCTGCAGAAACATTTGCGTTTGCCCAATTGTCCGAATCTCGATGTCCACCCAGACCACAGGTCCAGATGCCGAGGTTGCCATGGGATACATTTGTCCCCGTACATGCGTTGTGCAAGGAAAAGTAGACAATCGCTACACCACAGCTGATACCAGGAAATCATATTCCACGAAACGCCTGCGAGCCACATTTTGAGGTAATGATAAAAAAGACAATTTTACAGCGCAGCCAGTGCAAGCCCAAGACGCATCAACGGCATTGCTTACCCTCGCTGGGCTGGTTACGGCTTGCGGGGCGGGGTCCCGTTGCTCACGCGCCGCGTGCGATCTCGAGGTAACGGAGGGGGCAAGGAACCGATCGTGAAGCAAGAGTGTCCTAGGTTTGCTCCCGTGGAAAAGAGGTGTTGTTGCAGGGGGAATCACTTGCACTAAAGTGCCCAGTCCTCCTCGGGGCATACACTTGCACTAAAGTGTCTGGGTTTCCCTGGGGCATGCACTTACATGTTCTTTTCCCCAGGCATGGTATTCACATTCATGTCACTGACTCGTGCATCGTGGGGCTTGGGAATTCAGTTACCCACACGCTCAACACGTTCATCTTCCCCCGTCTTTCCTCGTATCCGTTGCTTTTGGCCCAGGCCGTGCAGCCTTGATTGGGTATCAAGCGCTCCCTTACCAACCCTTGCTGCACGGCTTGCGTCTCAAAGGCAAGATGTTTTGGTCCGGCAAGGTCGCAGGTCTGCCGTCGCGGTTTGGGCCTGCGTGCCGGCTTGCCAGCCAGGGTCGCCTTCGTGACCGTGCGGGGCGGCCTGTTGCTGGGGTCCACAGAGCCGTCCAGCTACCTTCGGGTCCATTCGGGCTCGGGTGCGGCCACCGCCGCGTGCCTGCCTCGGCGGCTCGTGGGGGCTGGCGGTTGTGTTCACGGGTGGTTTGGCCCAGGGCAGAGCCCACGCCCATCGCATAATTGTCTCACCTTTGCCAGCGTGCTGGGACAAATTGAGCTCCATCGAGAGGTGGAGAGATCGGGCCTGGGTCTCGGGACAAGGCTTTCGGAGGGGGCCGTTTCTCCATGTTGTCCTTGCTCCAAACCTGGGCGCTGCATTGTACAACGATGCATCATGTACGCTGTCGCGTGTGTCACAGGTCCCTATAAGAAGTTATTTCCACAGCTGGAAGTGCACAGGTTGGAAGAATCGTCAATCGTGCCAAAACACAACTCCTTGGACGTCAACGCCGCGAACCAACTTGATTGCTGCGTCGTCACGATCCCGCATCGTGCCACAACACCGCCCCTTGGATTCCAGCACCGCAAATCAACTTGACTGTTGCGGCCTGACAATCTTATTTCGTACCAGAAGACAATTCCTGGGAGTTTAACCATAAAAATCCGTGAAATATTGAAGACACATGTGCGTTGCGTTAAGACGAGAACTACATTTTGAAATCGACCCGCCCTCCATTCGTGAAGTTCTGAACCGCTTTTAAGACGAATGTGCGCGGTATTGAAGCGAGAACCGCACTTTGAAAACGACCCGCCCTCCATCTGTGACGCTCTTGACCACTTGTATGACGAATGCACGCGGCACTGAAGCGAGAGCCACATTTGAAAAGCAACCCGCCTTCCATCCGTGAAATTGTTGCAAACGTTTAAGACAAATGCGCGCAGCGTTCAGGCGAGAGCCACATGTTGAAAACCCCCCGCCCTCCGTCCGCCAAAGTGTTGTAAGCTTTTAGGACGAATGTGCGCTGCGATACGGCGAGAACCTTATTTTGAAAAGAAACCGCCCTCACATCCGTGAAGCCTTTTTGACCACTTGTAGGACGAATGTGCGCGGCGCTCAGGCGCGAGCCGCATTTTGAAAACGACCCGCCCTCCATCCGTAAAATTGTTACAACTTTTGAGGTGCAGGTCTCAATTTGTGAGGAGGTCTTAGGCGACACGCCTGGCCCGCCCTACCGACACGCTTCGGGGTGCGACGGGAAAGAGATGTTCATAAGGAAAAGGGTTTGATGTTTTCTGCGTGGGTGGAACAGTGCCCTCACGATGATTATGATGATGATGATGATGATGATGATGATGTTGATGATGATGATGAAGATGGTGATGATGACAGTGATGATGATGGCGATGTCGATGTCAGTGTCGATGCCGATGTTGTATATGATGATGATAATGGGGAGGTCATAATGGTGGTGATGATGATGGTAAAGATGATGGTCATGATCATGAGAATGAGGCGGAGGTGGATGTGGAGGAGAAGCAGGTGTACGCAACAACCAAGATGCTTCGTTATGGCCAGAGTCCAAAAGAAGCATGAGTGAGGGGTGGAGGAGGAGTGAGAGGAGGAGATGGAGGAGTTGGAGAATGTCGAGGAGGAAGTCAACGACGACGCCTGGGTGTAGAATAGGGGAGGGAGAGGAAAAGGAGCAGGCGAAGGAGGAGGCGGAGGAGGAGGAGGAGAAGGAGGAGAAGGAGCAGGAGGAGGAGGAGCACGAGGGGAGGAGGAGGTGGGCTCCTCCGCCATCCTCCTCTATTCGTCCTCTCTCCGATTGTGTTCCTGGCATCCCCGAGGAGACGGATATCTTGCCGCTGGAGTCGGAGCAGCGCGCGAAGCTGAAATGGGGTCTCTACAATAAGGACATCGTGGCCAAGCTCAAGGATCGTCGCCCAGCTTGATGAGGCGCGCCTGGGAGCATAGCAAATATGCCCATCCCGACCTCGTCTTCCTCGCCGCTCCTCGACTGCAGCAGAAGGTGGAGGAGAAGGGGTGTAATGATGTTTCCGGATGGGGGAGGAGAACAAGGAGGACAGGAGGATGATGATGTTTGGTGGCTCTCCCCCCGTGCGTTTAGGAGGGAGAGGTGGAGCGTGGGCGGGAATCGGAAAGGAAAATGAGGAGGGAGAGGGAGAGGGAGAGGTGGGCTTACGCAAAGAGGAAAAATAATGGAAGATGGTGATCACCCACCACCCCGTCCCTTTCCCCTCCATTTCTCCCCCTCCTCGATACCCCGCGTTCCCACCTCTTGCCCGCCTCCCCCTTCCCCTGTCCCCCCTCACCAACAACACTACCGCCCATCTTCCGCCCTTTTCCTCCCCTCTGATCTCTCGTTATGCCTCCCCCCCCTCTCTAACATGTCCCTCCATCTTCCTCCTCTCTGTCCGCCATACACTCAGCTCCCTTCCTTTCTTTCCCTTCCGCCACATGTCCCCATCTCACCTTGCCCTTCCCGCTCCCATCCCCTCCCTCACCCTCCACATCGCCCCATCACCCCTCACACTCTCCTGTCCCCCTTCCCGTCGCCTCCCGCCTTCGTTTTCCCCTTCCGATGTGTTTGTTTCCTGGAACAGTTTGTCGGCAAGGGTCCCATGTAATTGTTTTGGGGCTGGGTGCATGGCCCGTGGTCTTGGATCAATGGCCCGTGGTTTTCCTTGTGGTCTCCCGTCTGGCTTCTCGTATGATTATTACCTACCATATTGTGATGTAGAGTCCTTGCTTTGAATCAGTAGCGGCCCGCGTCTTTTCCTCTCCTCTCCTCTCTTCTCTCGTCTCCTCTCCTATCCTCTCCTCTCCTCTCCTCTCCTCTCCTCTCCTCTCCTCTCCTCTCCTCTCCTCTCCTCTCCTCCTCCTCCCTCCTCCCCATCCCTGCCACTGCCCTCCGCATATGCATTTCGTCACTCATCATTCGTTTCGTGGCCCCACAAGACGCGGAGCCGAAGGCTGCGTTCGCATGGCGGCGCCGCACCCATTTTGACACAACCCTGACACGCCTCGTGGCCCAATATGGAATACACCGATGGCCCCGCGGCTGCGTTTGCATGGCGCCGCCGCACCCGTTTCTACACAGACAGACAGACAGACAGACAGACAGACAGACAGACAGACAGACAGACAGACAGACAGACAGACAGACAGACACAGAGACAGGCAGACAGACAGACACACACAGACAAAGACACGGAGACAGGCAGACAGACAGATAGACAGACTGACAGGCAGGCAGACAGACAGACAGACTCTGCACTCGAAGTCTGTCCGCAGAGGAGCAGTAGCAAGGAGGCATCCAAGCCCGCGCCAGCGACTCGGACACAGTAGCGACTGGCGCCCGCCCTGGGAGAAATCCTGAATCAGGACTTCTCCCTGGGAGTGTGATTGCACGCCCCCGAGTCGACGCCCCAGCAGCGCGCTGCCCGCTCGCCGCCGCCCTTCAGCCTCCAGCTCTGCGGCCCTGTGTCAGCTCGTGCCAGGCCCGCGCGCCGCAGCTCCCCGCGGCCAGCCGCGACGCGCCAGGCTGGCAGGGCGACCCGCGGAAGCGCCGCGGAGAGCCACCCACCGAGCAGCGCGTCGCCATCGCCCCCAGCGCCCCGCCGCAGCCGCCGCCGTCAGAGCCTCCGGCGCCGCCGCCGCCGCCGCCGCCGCCGCCAGCGCTGCATTGCCCGCTGCCCTGGCGCTGGCGCTCCGCTCGCCGTCGCCTCAGCGCAAGCTTGCGGCCGCGCGCAGCTGGCGCGTCAGCTCGCCCCGCAAGCCGCAGGAGAGCACGCGGCGCGCGCGAGTTCGCGGGCCTGTTCGGCGTCGGGCAAGCCGTGAACCGCAGCCTTCAGCCAGGGGCGCGTCTCGGCCCTTAGTCGCTCCCCAGCCTCGAGAATAATTGGGGTGAGGCGCTCGCCTGGGTAGCGCGCGCGTTTGTCTCGCTCGCCGCGCCAGCTCGCATCGCCGTCGCGGCAGCCCGCGACGCGCAGTTCCGCCTCGGCGCCTGCGGCGGAGTGCCGCAGGGACACGTCGAGCAAGTGACGCACGTCGTCCTCCTGTAATTCGAGGTCGAGCACGGCGCGCTCCGTCTCCCTGGGGCGGCTCAGCCGCTGCCTAGTCCAGAGCGGGACACTGCTCGTAAAGCGGGAGCTCGTGCCTCCAGCGCCGCAGCAGCCCGCCGAGCCAGTCCGCCGCGCCCGCGCACCAACCCGCCGCCGATCTGGCAAGCGGCGCCGTGATGGCCGAGGTCGTCAAGTGGCTCCGCACAGACCTCGCCGCTGGCGTTCTTCAGGCAGCAGTGGGCCGTCGCCGCCGCGAGCTGGTCCAGGGAGCAAGCACTCGGGCCTTCGGAGGTGCAACTAGAGCTGGGCAGCCGTCTCCTAGCGCGCGTCCTCGAGCGCGCAGAGCGCCTCGGTTGGATAGCCCAGGAAGGCTGCCGCGCCCGGCCCCACGTGCCTTCGCAGAGTGGCCCCTTGGAGGAGGGGCAAACGCTGCAGGGGCGCAGCGCAGCGTTTTCTTTGAATTTCTCCTAGACAAGTCCTGCTTGAGCTCGCGCGCCGGGCCGCCAGCCTGCGCTCCGCCGTCCGCCAGCAGCGGCCCCTGCCCAGCCAGACCCTGCCTCGCTTCTTCCAGCTTGCGCGCGGCGGCAGGCAGGCGTTCCAGGGCGTCGCGCAGCGAGCGGCAGCCCAGGCGCCCCACCACCCTAGGCCGCGCCAAACCAGGAGGCAAGGAACGCGAACAGACAGACAGACAGACAGACAAACTCTCTTGGGCCCCCACAGCGCCGGCCCGCCAAACAGCCACGCCTCGAGAGCGCGCCCCGGCCGCGCCTAGGGAACGAGGGCCACGACGCGGAGCGACGCCAGCGCGCGGTCCGGAGCGCCCAAAAGGAGGGGAGGAGGAAAGAGGTTGGCGAGCGAGGCGGCTGGGCGGGAGCCCCGCCGCGCCACGCGTCGCCCGGCAGAGCCCGCTCGAGCGCGGCGGCCGCAGCGTCGCCGGCGCCCGCGCCGAGCTTGTTCGGCAGCCCCGCGGCGGGGGCCCCGCGCTGGCGCGCGCTCCGGCAGCTCCTCGGCGCCCGCCCGCGCTGCGGCCTCCGGCGCTGTCGCGGCTCTCGGGGGCGCCGGAGCGAGCCAGATGCGTCGCGCAGCTGGCGCTTGCGGGGGCCCTCTTCAGGCTCGCAGCCGCCCTGGTCAGCGCAGAGAGGCGCGCGCCGCGCAGCGGCCTCGGGCGCTGTCGCCAGCAGCCTCTCTCAGGCGCGCCAGCGCGGGCCCGCGGCTGCGCGCGGCAGGTCTGCTGCGCGGCGGCGCGCCGCCCACTGGCGCCTCAGCGCAGGCCCACGGCGGCGCGCCGCTGGCACGCGAGCTCGCTTTGGAGCCGGCACCCGAGCGTGGGCCAGCTCGGCGCCCAGCCCCCCCCCGACCTCTTGGGCGACGGGGGCCAGACGCTCGCCTGGGCAACGCGAGCGCGCGTCGCGTTCACCCCTCCTGCTGGCTTCGCCATCCCAGCGGGCGGCCACCCGGGCGTCCGCCTGCGTTCCCGCGGCTGGGCGTCGCAATGCGACATCGAGCCAGCGCCGCCCGCCGTCGCTTTGGCACTCCAAGTTGAGCACCGCGCGCTCTGTTTGTCGACCGGGCGGCTGCCTGGCCCACTCAGGGACCTCCCGTTCGAAGAGAGGCAGTTCGTGTCACCGCTTTCGCAGCAGTCCTCCAGGCCAGCGCGCCAGCCGCACGCGCCGGCGCACGACGCCGCCGCTGTTTTGGCAGGTAGCGCCGCGGTAGCCGCGGCTGTCCAGGGGGCGCAAGGCTGCCCGTTCGCGCCGCGCAGGCAGCAGGTCGCCACCGCCCCCGCAAGCTCGCCGCGGCCGCGGGCGGGCCGCTCGAGGCGCAGCCTGCTGCTGCGCGAGCCGGTGCCTCAGCGGGCGCACTCCTGCGAGCAGAGCGCCTCCGCGCGGTAGTTTGGGAAGGCCCTTGCACCCGGCCCCGCCTGTCCGCGCGGACAGACAGACAGACAGACAGACAGACAGACAGACAGACAGACAGACAGACAGACAGACAGACAGACAGTCGGACAGACGGACGGACGGACGGACGGACGGACGGACGGACGGACGGACGGACGGACGGACAGACACACACACACACACACACACACACACACACACACACACACACACACATGCACGCAAACTTTGTCCGTCGCAGCACGGCAGAGGCAATCCGCGCGCGCGCCCGAGCGACACCCTGGCACGAGCGAGGTCACGAATTAGCCCGCGCACAAGCGGGAGGAAGAGAGGACGGGCGACCGCGAGGGCGATGGAGGAAGGAGCGCGAGGCCCGCTCGCGCAGCGGGGCAGCGCTGGAGGTCGAAGCGCGGCCTGGCCGAGGTCCAAAGTGGCAGCGGCTGCGGGGCGGCGTCGCAGCGCGCCCAGGGCAGGGCCCGGCAGCCACAGAGCGGACGCAACCCGGGCAAGTGGGAGGGTGGAGGCCGCCGCGGATGGAGACCAGGTAGCCGGCGGAGCGGGGCAGCGGCGGCGCGGGGCCGCCGACGCGGTCGGCCGGCGCTGCAGCGGCTGCACGGGGCGCCGCGGCCCCGCGAGCAGCGACGGGGCGCGGTAAGGTCGGAAAGGCTGGCGCGCGCGCGCCCGTCGACAGGTCGAGCCCTCAAGCCGCTCGGGGCAAGCAGCGCCGGCAGCCGGCGAGAAGCCGCCCGGGCGTGGGCCACGGGGGGGCCAGGCGAGGCGCGCAGACGGCCGACCGGCATGGGAACGATACATCGGCGGTACGAAAGTTTTGACTTGTTGCGCATCCACAACAACGGGCCCCAGGCGGGAGCACCAGAGTTGAAGAGGCGCCAATCTGCACGTTCGAGGAAGTCCTCGGCGGGAGCGCCATTTCGACATCGAACCAGACCATTTCGAAATCGAACCAGACAAGTT